AGAGACAAAATATGTTGGTCTGGTTGTTTTGCTTTTCATAGATGCCCTCTCCACAGCTCTTATTTGCCTTTAATTGATTTGGGGGGGACTTGGTTCCTCTGAAAAGTCAAGCCACTTAAGCATATTTATGGCACCTCCGTCTTAAGTGACTTGATTTAATACTTTAGTCTGGATATATGAGCTATTGCTTCCCTAGTGTGAAGTATCTCATCTTTTGGCTTTACTGCTGGGGAACAGCCAGAGAGAGAGAGTGTGGGTAGTCCAAGCAGATCCAACCTCCCTGCTTCTCTAGTTTCCAACTATAAAAATGGACCAGTGATGACCTGTAGAAGTTAATGTATAGTTGTGAAGGGCTCAGAGATGGAGGAAAAGGTGGGGTGGGGGAATCTGATCATGATTAAAGCTATCATCCTAATTTCATCAGTTCAATTTTCAGTGCTTTTAAAAAAAAAAAATCCTCCAGAACAGAAATGCATAGAGCCATTTTCCTGCTGCCTGGGCTTCTCTCTGTTGAAATTTCAGTCTGGTACTAACAGCAGAAGTCTTCATGGCCAGTAGAAACATGTGTGGTCAGCACTGGATTGGAACTGCTATTTTACCTCCAGTAGTAATGAAAAAGCTAATCTTTCCTAAATCTCTTATAGTTCAATAATCTCCTAAAGTGCCAGATCCATGATTAAAAGCACTGATAAGAGCAGCTGTCCTTTTGTTCTCTTTTAATTAAGCCTCAGCACAAGGTGGGTGTTTGATTTCCTGAGAATGTTTTGATGAGCGAGGTTAAGTTTCGTTTGGCTGCTGGGACTGAATGTTCAGAGAAGGTTACTCATTCAAGCAGTTCAATGGGTTCTGGGGAGGTGGAAAGATTGAGTCCTACTCTTGTGGATTTCATTGGATCAAGAAGGGCTGCCTTTTTGCCGGCGTGGGTCTGAAGACAAAAAAACAGCTATCCAGTGTCAGGTGCAGAACAGGCCATTTTAATTGCTTTTTTTTTTTTCTGTGGTGTCTCAGCAGCTGTTGGCCAGAAGGTATGGGGTTTGAGTTTAATCGGACAGTAAAATAACTAATAATCCAATCAGTTCTTAGGTGAGCGTTCTCCTTAATACCCAGATAATTTATAATCTTGGGTTTAGGCATTTTCCTCTCTGCCATTTTCCCTGATTTCCTTGCAAAGTGTATTAATTCAAAATTGTTCACCAAATAAATAATTCTGCCTTGAATGTTGTGTGTGCTGATTTGTGGCAGTGTCTGATGCTTGTATTTTCTGCTGATCTGGTTGCCAATCACAAGTCATTAGTTCCTACTTGAATGAGGAATTTCCAAAATCAAGTTTTCAGTGCAAAGAATTCAAAACTTAATTTCTATGTGAATATGTACTGCTTTCCCAAATGTCCTGGCTAGTAAAACCATTCACTGAAATGTTTGCAGACCGTAAATGCTAAAAGCATATAAACATTAGTCCTGGTGCTGTCCCCTACTCTGCAACTCCATGGAGACTATGGGATGGACCAATTTTAAGTTTTAAAGGCTGTTCCTAGCTTTCTGTGTCTGTCTACCAATGCAGATTCATACTGGAACAAATACCAGACTTAGGGGTAGCATTTCATTTTCCAGACACCAGCATAAATCTGAGAGTAGGTCTAGGAGCTAGAAACTCCTACAGCCAGCTCTGACTCCCTCTGACCTGAGCCTCTTTATGCCTCTGTTCTAATGTTTGTAGAAGAGACAAATTCTCCTTTCTCTGCCTTTGAAGGTAGGTAAAACTGATATAAAAATCTTGGTAAGTATACAGATATCTGGCAAACAAAAAAAAAATCAGTTAGAGGAAATAGGAGTAGAGGAGAGGGAATGACTTCAGAAAACAGGGAACCTAAAAGCAAGTCTTTTTTTAAGTGTGGAAATGAAAAATTAATGAAGTACAGACATCCCTGACTCTTACTCTGTCTATCTGATTTCCTGCATGCATCTTATTTTATTTGGTGGCCTAAGCTATATAGATGTTAATGCATTCTGTTCAAGGTTATATGTAATCTAGGACTTAAAGATAGAAGGAATGGGGAAAAAATGAGTTAGATTTGCATCTGAGATGCATACTTTTAAGGAGAGAATTCACATCCTGAACGTATCCAGGCTAATTTTGTGAGGATGTATGAAATCTTATTCATTGTTCACTTTTCTGTCAAATCTAGAATAGTTGGCTCAGCACAACTCTATACTATGCACTGGGTGTGAGGCACTCCCTGAGTCTGGATTCCTATATTTGAGCCCTTGTGCCCCCACATCCAGAAGCCAACTGGCCTATCTTTTCAACAGATGTGAAAGCATTCTTCCTATCTACGATACTCAGAGGTGGAACAGACTTGGTTCCAAATTTGCCCTTAAGAATTAAGTCTCTCCACTAGGCTAGGATATGAAATGGTCTATCTCAGTGCCAAAGTTGTTTTTTTTAGGGGATTAACTGCTGGCAAGGGGTCTTAAGAGGAAAGTAATTTACATCCTCCTTAATTCTAGCAATGAAATTCTTTCCCAGTTTTGCTCTGCCCCAATCAGGTTGACTCTTGCACTCCTCTCTTGCATGCTGTGGAAGCAAGTGTTCATACAATAAATTTATATAGGAAGAACAGATGCAGAAATTCAGATCTGAAGAAAAATCCCATGCTCTTCTCATGCAGTGTTTCCTAAACTTCAATGTTGAGCCTTGTGCTTTATGAGGTAAAACCCATGGCTACTGCTACCCATAAACCTTGCTTTGGGTGTTAAAGCCCTATATATAAATATATACGTCTTTCATCTCCCTGCTTATAGCCAGTCCTTAAATAGCTTCCATGGAGATGTACCCCATATTTTCATGCATGCTGGGCTAGAACTTTATAGCTTGATGCTTCTCTTCTCTTGTGCTTTGATTTCCACTAAAGCAGTTACAACATTGATGTTTACATTTTCTTCACTCATATCTGTGCTGGAAGGAAATGAGTAGGGAAGTATACACCTTGTTGTTTTACACTCTTTACAAACTGGGACATACTTTGCTACCTTAGTGCAAACATCAACAACCATGACTCCAAAGAACTTTTCCCTCTAAAACTTTCAAAGATGGTGATTTAAAAGTTTGGCAGCTAGATTCAGTGTTAGGCTTCCAAAAAAGCTCCACAATAGAAGTTAAGCTACTGTACCCTTACAGTCTGAACACTTCTAGAAACCAGTCTGCTTAAATCTAAGCTTAAGTACTGGTTTTGAACCACTCATTTAAAAAATATTGGCCTTTGTGTCA